TTTTCGCACTTGAGCATCTAGGGACCTCGAATAGCCCCTGAATCAAGGATAATCTTCCTCACCTAAAATCGTGCCCCCCCCCCCCCCCGCTTTTTGTTCTTGCTAAAACCGTTACTAAGGCAGCAGCATTTTTGTTCATGTAGAGGTTGTGGCAATACCAGATGGTCACCACCTGCGGTTTAGTTACGCGGTACACTCACCAGCCGTAAGCCTAATACATATGCACTTCCTGCGGAATATATGTATACTTCAATTTTAAGTGCTCTACCCGCTTCTTTGTAACTATACTAGTGTACGCGCACGAGCGCAAACATACAGCAGTGGCTAGCGAAAGCGATTCGGCGCGTGATACATCGTATCCACCTGAACGCTCATTCTGCAAAATAAATTAATGCAGCACGCTCAGGACGTATCAAAAATGAAAAAAAATAGTTCACTGACTGATACACAATAGTTATAATTTAATGCACTCTTGAACAGGACGTCGGCGCCGATATTCACCGCTGCGTGTTTGTGAAACGGCAGGAAGACAGCCTGCACCCAAAGCCCGCATTTAAGTGGTTATATATTGACTCCACTGCACATGTCTTTCAACAAACTATACTGCATAAAAAATTCGGGATCAAAACTAAACGCAACTGCTTCTCAGAAACTGGAATATATATTTAAACAAAGGGTCGGGGGTAATACATGAACAAAGCATGTTATTTTCTTTTTTTAAATGTCAAGTTATAGTTAAGGAACTCGAAAAGTTATTGAGCCTTCTCGAGATTTGGCGAAATCTGAACATGGCGACATTTCTAGGCGGCAGCAGTGGCGTCCTGCCATAACTTATTGACGAAGAAGTGAGAAAGTTTGTGTTTTGAAATACCTAAGTTATCGAAAACAACTCCAGGATCTATAGAGGAGAGTGTTGCTAGAACACTATGGTGAAATTACGGTGAAATTCTAGTACCTCACTACAAAGTACGTGGCTTCCCAGGACAATTGCACACTGTCTATAGGAAATGCATGAGGCCCTTATGTAAAAAGTTAAACACTATGGAAAGCCACGCCGTTTTTAGTACGACACTATTATTTTAACAAACATTTTCGGTAATTTCCTAAGCTGTATGGAACCAGGAACCATTTCCGATAACAATGTTTTTCTTGAAGATAATTTTTTTTCTTATATTTCCCATTCAGTTATGGCAGGGCGCCGTTGACGCCGACGACAGCTGGCATTACTTGCAAATATCTCTAAATCTTCACCATACGCTAGCAGACAAAGAAGTAAGAAAGACGACACCACAACGTGCGCGTCCTCTCGCTAATGTCGTCGTTTGCTGGCACTGAACATGTTTCCGATTTTCGATACCAACACGCCCGACAAAATGCAAAGGTATAGAAAGGGGTGTGGATTATATGCGAGAATATATGGTGTGTCCTTCCAGCGCTATAATTGACTGAAGTTTTGAGCAACGTTTCCGTTAAGTGGATGACTTGAAGTTGCGAAGAGCTTCAGCTGCAATAAATAGCTGAGCTAATGTGGAAACGTTTCAGGACTTCACTGCGAAGAAAAAAAAACCAATGCATCAGCGCCGGCGCTTCATGTATAAGGCTCATGAAGTCCGGATAGTAATGATAATTTATGCTATTGGTACTATGACCATATATATTCTACCAGCACCAAGACAGCATGACTCTATGTTGAAAAAAATGAAATGCGAAGATCAACCAAATTCTGCAGTGAAGCAGCTTAAGAATAGTCTGTAAAGCAAGAAAGCTTTTCCACCCAAGTCACTTGAATGTCCAGAAGGACAAATTGTGGGCAATCGACTCACACAAAGAAGTGATAAATAAAGACTGCCCCAGTGTCTCTGCGCTTGTATTACCGGTGGGAATCTGAAAGCAGGCTTTGAAACTGCAATAAAACTCGTAGCGTGGTTCGCGGATTACTGCATTTCGACAAACAGGGGGATAAGCATAGAATAAACAGAAGGTGCTGCCTGCAACCGCAGTTTGTTGCCACTTTGAAAAATCAAAATTCGGTCACCGATACACTGCATTCCGCGACTTTTGCTATACTAAACAATTTCCCACCTGAAAGAGCCTCAATTTACAGATCATTCTTTTTTGGTAAGGCAGGGTTATAATATTTCGGAATTCAAATAGATGCGAATATCTTTTTCGGCGTCGTAGACCGTTGCTACTGCCATGGGCCATAATTGAACAACGTATACTCTACTTTCTATTGCGGGACAGGTTTTAACAGAAATTCCGAAACAAGAGAGAACCAGATTTCATAACGACCGGTGAATACATGGTAATGTAAAATGAATGTACGTGTGCAAACTGTTCCATACTGGATAAAATACGTGACACACCTTTCAGAACATCACTTAGATTTGCCAAAACAAAGAACTAATGAATGAATCGAACTTGCTTCCTATCAAACCTCGTTGGTTCATGTATGCACTTCACATATGAACACAATAAAACAATTCGAAGCGTTGCAATATATGTTCCATTCCTTCAAGTCAGCAATAAAAACCGAAGCACTCTTGATTGCCTCACATCATATAAAGAGTGCATGAACTGGCGAAGTTTTAAATTTTAGTGTCACGTTATGGACGAATGCATCTGAAAAATAAACGATATCTCTTGCTAACTTTTCTAAGTTACCAGGATGGTTCTATTTCGTCTCGAGTGGTACTTGGAACGATACACCAAATACCCTTCTTGCATGGCAGGCTTTCGTCGGGGCCGCTCCTCCATTGACTGTGTCCTTGATTTGTCGACATTTGTTCAACAAGAAAAAAGTCGCAAGCGCATATCAGTGGCACTCTTTCTTGACGTGAAGGGTGCATATGATAATGTAGCTCACGATGCCATCCTCACTTCTCTCGCAGCGATGGGCGTTGGTGGACGAATGTTTCAATGGATAAAAGATTATATAACTGGCAGAGGTTTCTTTGTACAAACATATGAGGGTACAACTGCCCAACATTACACCTACTGCGGAGTACCTCAGGGAGGTGTTTTAAGCCCCACATTGTTCAATGTGGCCCTCATTGGTCTGGTGAAGGTTCTGCCAAAGTCGGTGTGCCTATCCATATACGCCGATGATATTTGCCTCTGGAGTGCTGCAGTTACTCGCCCTCAGGTGCGTGCACGAATACAGCGGGCAGCAACACTCACAACAGCCTACCTTCAGAAACAAGGCCTAAATATATCAATTGTGAAGTGCGCGTTGATGGCGTTTACACGCAAACCAATGACGCCATACCCTGTTTACATCAATGGGCAGAGTGTCAAATATGCACGGACGCGTCGTTTCCTGGGCATAATAATCGACAAAAGTCTTTCGTGGAGCCCACATTGTGCGTACTTGAAGAAGAGACTGCTATCTATTGTGCATATCATGAAATTCTTGTGCGGTAAAGCATGGGGAACTTCTGTGGCCTCCATGCTACAGCTGTACACGGCCCTATTTCTGGGTCTTTTGCGCTACAGCTTGCCGGTACTGACTAACACTTGCAAATTGAATACTCATTCATTGGAGAGTTTGCAGGGTCAGGCACTGCGTATCTGCCTAGGACTGCCCCGATGCGCTTCTACTTATGCCACAATCATGCTTGCCAAAGACCATCCGGTCAGGACATATATAGCTGTGGATTGCCTCAGAGCGCACATTCGACCTGCTAGCCGTGTCCCCGACCACCACTTGGCCCTTCTACCTTCCGGAAGACCACGTGCTACGTTTTCGGACGTCATAGCCAAGCACCTAAACAGCATTCCATCAGGATATACGCCAGCTGCGAGAACGGCATGCCCTTTGTGGTGCCTCGACCAGCCGCAAGTACGTCTAGAAATTCCGGGAATCAAAAAGAAAAGCAGTCACTCCAGAGTAGCATTGAAGCAAGCAACACTGCTATTATTACATGAGTTGTACTTAGACCGAACGCAGATATACACTGATGGGTCCGTCTCATCCAGCAGCTCATCAAGTGCCGCTGTAATTCCGGCTGCAGAAATGACAATCAAATTTAAGTTGTCACATATGACTACATCTACGGCATCAGAGCTTGCTGCTATAAGGGCTGCTTTACAATATCTCGTTCAAGAACGTCCAGGAAAATGGGTCATATTCTGTGATTCGAAGGCAGCGCTTCAGAGTTTGCAGTCTGCCATGCGTAGGAGGAGCCATGACCAACTGGTACAAGAAATAAGACATTGCCATCATGAAGCTCTAGCACGAGGGCATGATATTATATATCAATGGCTGCCTGGACATATCGGTATTACCGGAAATGAACTAGCCGATGATGCAGCCCGCTCAGCCCATGAAGAAACCCGTGTAGTCCCGATTCCTCTATCAAGGAATGATGCAGCAAGACAACTTTTCCTGCTGGCTCGAGATCTCACACGCACGTTCTGGTCGTCTACCAGCTTCCAAAGGTGTCAATTTTATGAACTGGATCCTTCGCTAAAGCTAAAGCTACCATCACAACTTTCCCGCTCCGATGCGACACTGTTATGCCGCCTTTGGTTGGGTGTTGCATTCACAAAGGTGTACTCCTTTCGCATTGGTATGGCAGACACTCCTACATGCGACTACTGCGGAGATGAAGAAACCATCGAACACGTCCTCTGCAGCTGTGCTTGCTACGACACACAGCGATGCCAGCTACGGATGGTTTTGAATCGACTTGACCCCGGACCATTTTGTGTGCGGAAGATACTAGGACCTTGGGCATCTGCCTCAGTTGCGCAGAAAGCAACTAAAGCACTGCTTCTTTACCTTAAGTCAACAAACCTGAGCGACCGCCTGTGAACTGTGTGTGCTCACCGAGTGTGCTCGTGATTGTGTGTACCTTCTCATCTTTGTGCAACCTCTTTTCTCCCCTTTATCCCTTCCCCAGTGCAGGGTAGCAAACCGGATGTGCGTCTGGTTAACCTCCCTGCCTTTCCTTGTATCTTCATCTCTCTCTTCTAAGTTACCAGCAGTAGAAGAGGACTCTCAAGAGGAATTGGGATTTATTGGGAACATGGCGAGGATAGGGAATAAAAACATCCAATGTTATCCATAGTAGCCTCCGTAGCCATAACCGATGAGTTTCTTGAATCCCCCACCGTATCCAAGTCCACCGTAGCCAAGCCCGCCGTAGCCCAATCCATATCCTCCGTATCCAAGACCATAGCCTCCATAGCCGAGACCGTATCCGTAGCCAAGGCCACCGTAACCTAGACCACCGTAGCCGAGACCACCGTAGCCGAGACCACCATAGCCGAGGCCGCCGTATCCCAGACCCAGATAACCGGCGGAGACGGTGGCAATGGTAACACAAATGGCCGCAAGGAAAGCCTGGAAAAATGCGCATTCGTGAGGGTTTTTAGAGAAATTGTTTGATAAAGTGACGCAGTTCTGTCATACGCATTGGTAGCATCTCTTGTTGGGGGCCGTTTTACCAGTTAGCAGACGCTAACTCGTTGTCACAGTGAAACGTTAGGCAAAAGTGGTATTTTTATTAGTGCAATAATTCGTTGAACAACATGAATCAATTACAAGCGTAGAGGGCAATAAAAACTGTATACATATCAGTGCACAATAAATAGCTCTCGAAGTCAAGAGTCAAAAAGTGGTTAAAATCTTCTTACAATTAAAAGCCCGCTAAAGTGCTCTGCTGCCATTGAACACAATTTATAGGAACGAATTTAGAGAAAAAAAAACGCTAAACAACACTGATTGAACCATGCTTAATTGCTCATGTGTGAGAAGTCTATAGAATAAAAGAACAAGAGAAAAAACAGGAGACCTATGAAAGAGCTGTTTTAAACAATGTATTAAGGAAGCTGCCCAACAGCCTTGCAAATGAGTTACTTTTAATGCTAGGGGATGCAACTATGATGTATTTTGGAGTGCTGCTTGGATGATTAGATTCAAGTTGCAGTTACACTTTGACTAATTAGAAAACAGAGATGTCTCTAAATTCTTTTTGTCATTACAGGGAATAACTTTTCAAATTCGCACTTGCGAAAATGCTTAGGTTCACAGCAAAAATATTGCATATCAGTTGGTCTTAGTTTAACCTACTTTGCCATAACCTCGTTGCGACCAATGTTTACGCTATATTGCCGGATAAGTATTTCCCACTGGGGAAACACGTTTGCATGGCAGCCGTTTACTATGCCCACAATGTAGAACTAGAGTAGGGCTTCGGTATGTCCAACGTTTGCAAAAAGAATATAGTAGTACGAAAATATAGAAAAAGAGAAATGCATCATAATAGGTGATTAAACGAACTTGTAATTCCTAACATATAATATTGGTAAAGTAACTTGTTACGCCACCAGAACTTATACAATGGCTACGAAAGGTTTACTAACCCTTATATGGAAAGAAAGACTCAATTCATAGCCACGGTTGCATCCTTCAAATCAGCAACATTTTAAAACAAATAGAACCAAATGAATGTCGTTAACGTGCCGTTCACACCTGAGACGGCTACACAACTTGAATAATATTTTTGGAATTAGGAGCTTTATCAGATTATGATGATATCAGCGAATCATATTTAGCAATTTTCTCAAAGGGGAGCAGCGTCTTCTTTACATATTAGAAAGCAGAATGCAATGACGTCCGCTTGCTGCAGCGAAAAATGTTTTCTTTTTTTTCTATAAAGTGGGCCGTTTACAAAAACTGCTATTGCGCTGTGGCTTTAAATATTGATATTCCAATTTCTTGATGACATATTATTGCATGCCAAGTTCAAAACATTTTACTGAAAAAAAGAATGGTTAGAAACAACAGAATACGCAACAATATACTCGACATACAGCCATGAGAGAAATAGATGAAAATCCAGAGTAATACGAGGAACCTAGAAACTTACCAAATATTTCATTTTGCTGGGGCTGAGGTATCGTATGCCAGCTGCCGTGGTGCGTTGTTTTCGTGACGTTGCAGACCACCCGCTTATATACACAGACCGTGAAGGCCAGTAACGCGCAGCGCCGCGGCTATGCAAGAGCAGTGGAAAGTGAAATTTTTGACTTCGGGAAATTACCCCTCAAGAAATTGTACTAGGTGGTGATACTTTTCTTTCGTATTGTTTCCTAGGCGGATGTTTGGGACGAAACGCGAAGAACCGTATCCGTTCGGCCGTACTTTGGCAAGGAAGCGGGGCCTACCGTGAACTTGTTGCTTCCTCCACGAGTGACTTTCCCCGCTTCCGGCCTGCAAGGAAGGGCAGAGAGAATCGGTGACTTGTCATACGCCCTTGGCAGTGGTAGTTGAGGCATTCACTTTCTTGGCGTTATGAAATTCATCCTGTCTTATTGTGAGGACGACATTCTCCGGCAGTTCAGACTTGACTGAATTCTCTTTATTACATACAAGTAGCAGTAAGCCCACATCTTAGTTACAACAATTTTAGTTCTATTACCTGCCATAGTACGTAAAAAACCTATAAATGACGACGTCATGCAAATTGCGGGACTAAGCAGTATCGCGGTACAATAGTATCGCATTAGTATCTTAAAAATATCTTTGAATGCCTGCATTTTTTAACGAGACACATTTAATAATGTATTTGTATCTCAGCAGTGACATATTTTTTACGATATATGGAATGTATCACGATATTGTTCTTCACATGAGCATCTTGTATATTTTCCGTCGCAAATGGGCTGGCCTGTTTGTAAATGGGAAAAGAAGACTTCCGTGCTACGCGAAGTGAAGGTACGCCAGTGGTCACGGACACTAACGGAGGCACTGAAGGATCATCCACATAGAAATGGCCCATGGGGTCAAACGCCTTACGCTGTGACAGCAGATTCATGAAGGCAGATATGCTCTGCCCAAGAAGGAAGGAAGGAAGGAAGAAAGGAAGGAAGATATGAGGAAAAAAACGGCAGGGAGGTTAACCAGCTTATAGGCAGCTGGTTTACTACCGTGAGCATGGGAGGGGGATGGGGCAGATGAAAGATAGAGAGCAGAGATGGAAGAGAGATAAACACAGCACATTCGGCAGGAGACGCGCGCACACTCAGTCATTGTCCAGTCTTGTCTTTCGCGATGTGTGACATTGCAGTTACAGCCGCTTGTTCAAGTCCGTGTCACGTAGGAATTTCAACAGAGCTTTGTCACCTTCTGTTGCAATGTCTTCTCTCGGGCACTTGACAGAATAGTGTCCACAGACATTTGGCTGTTGTCGATGCGCTGCAAGAACGGATGCCAGTGACTGCCTCTGGATGGCATACAACGGACAGTCGCACAGGATGTGGTGTAGCGTCCTTTCGTAATGAAACGCATCACAGAGAACGTTGTCCGCCGTTCCTGTGACAAAGGAATAAGATTTTGTAAATGCCTCTCTTAGCCATAAGCGATGAAGAAGGGTGGCCTCTCTTCGGTCGAGCCCAGTGGGCATGCGGAGAGCCATCGAAAGAGAACAGGTGGTGTTGAAGATTCGTCTCGTTGCTTGGTGGAAACCATATTGAAAACGTGACTTCACGCGCAAGTCGTCGAAGAATACTGGCTGCATCGGTCCGCGAAAATGGTATCGCTTCTTCTCGTGTTCATTCAAGAGCTGCCCACGCGGCAGTATCGGCATTTTTACAAAATTTCAGCCACTTTGAGAATCGGCATGTTCGTTCCCTATGACGCCACAGTGACTTGGCAGCCACTGAAACGTCACATGGTGCCCTTTTTCGTGCGAAGTGTGGAGAAGGGATCGAATTTCAAAAAGAAGCTGTTCGTACGGCCCACGACGCAGTGCTGAGAGTACAGATTGTAGGGCAGCCCTTTAGTCGCTAAAAATCGACCATTGTTGTGGTGGTTCCCGATTGACCACACAAAGTGCAGCACAAAAAAGCCACTGTCTTTTGAGAGTGAAGCAGCGTCGTCTTAAGGACAGCCTATTTGAAAATCTGTTACATAAGTGCAGTTAACGCAACAACCATCTAAATATTACATATCTTTATTCTAGAATAATATGTATACTTCTTTTTAATCATTATTGTTCGCCTCTGTTTCAAATGATATTACTTGCTTGCAAGTTTTGAATGCGGGGAGACAATATTCTCGATATTATTTGCACCTAATAAATTTTTTTGCGGAGTATCAAAACAGTTTTTGAGTATTCGTATTCGCGTATTTCTATTCCTTTTGTATCTGTATTCTGAAATACTTTTAAATGCGAAGCATTTTTTTTAAAAATTTCAGCGACTTTGAGAAGAGTATCTATCTAGCCGCCGAGTTTTAGTTGTCCTGGCCGTTTCGATAATTCAATCGATACCAGCATAAGTGTCTAGTCATAGCATGAAAGTCATCACATGTACGTCATCGATGTCATGATTTACATTTAATGGTCTTGCTGCTCTTGTGGTGGTTTCGTTCACAAGACATGTTGCAAAAGTGGTATGGTATAACATGACAGCATGGCGAAACCAAGGCACCCACCCTAACATGAAAATCATGACATGCACGTAATGTAACAACATGGCCACATGCCACACTCGTGATGCTCTGGCGGCCTTTTCGCTAGCTTCACATATGCCAAAGTTGGTATTACGAGACTTGAATGGATGACGAAGGTATGTGACTGATGCATACATGATAATGATGAGATGCGTGTCATGTAACAACATGACTACATGCCAGGCTCATGATGCGCTCGCGGCCGCTTTGCTAGCTTCACATGTACCAAACTCGGTATTACGTGACGTGAACAGATGATATAGGCAAGTGACGCGTCAAAAGATGAGAACCATGACATGCCAGTCACGTAACAACATGACTACATGCAACACTCATGATGCACTCGCAGTCCCTTTGCTAGCTTCACATACGCAAAATTTCGTATTACATCATATGAATTAATGACGAAGGCATGTGATTGGTACAAACATGATGGTCATGAGATGCGTGTTTTCTAAGACTACATGGCACACTCAAGGCGCCAATGCACCTTCACGTGACTCGATGCTCGTGCGCGCGGGCGTTCGTTTCGTCGCGTCACGCTGGCGATGCCACGCCAAGTGCCGATATGCCTGCCATATACTCGCATGCGCACGCCGCGTTGCGATCCTTTGACGCATGCGCGTATGAGCGTGCCTGGCGGCGTTTTTCTGTCTGAGATCCCAAGAGAAAATGCGGGGAAAAGGCGGCGCCGCTATTGGCTGAATGCAATCACGTGATCCAAACGTACTTTCGGTCTTTCTTGTTTGTTTCTATTTCTTCTTATGCAAGATGGCAGCACGCATTGATGTTAGCATAACGCTAGTTTTGCAATACGCCAGTGAAGCTTGTTGGAGCAATACTCCGTAGAAATTACGCCGAAACGTGTGGGCTTTTTGCTGACAGTGTCGCTGAAACGAGTTGTGTTCTTATATGGTGTGCTTCAATTTTTTATTTATTACGCGTTTGTTTGGGCTGCCGGCTGGCGAAGAAGACGTGCCACTTGAACTACTCCGGATGTGATTTGTTTTAGGATAAATGGGTTGTATCACATGTAGAATTTACGCTGTGATCTTCTGTTCTCCGCGCGTAAACTAAGGTGAGACGAAGTTGTTTCAATGTTAGTTGTTATGTGACGGTGTGCGGTTTCTCACTACGCCGTGCTATCGCTCAGGGTCCTTTGCCATCTTATTTCTTGTGATATCACGCGACGCGCTGCCAGCTTGCGCTCTTAACGCACACAGTGCTCATAAAACTTGTCTGGTGGAGTAGAGTGGTTGGAGCCTAAGCGTTTCCAGATGCAACTCCGCATTCAAGAAGTACGCCAAAACGCGCAAAGCATGGGCGTTGCCACATTGAAAAGTAGATAGCGCAGTTGTCCCTCGCAGACTGATAGACAATCTAATGTTCAAAATGTGTTGGGCTGTTTTGAAAAAAATTGAAACATAAAGGAGGAAACTGTACATGTAACCTAATGCATATCTCTGTTATGTTGCAGTGCAAGTAGTAGTGTCCACTGTTGTTCATGCAACCTGAGTATAAAAAATTGTATTGTGAAAAAAAAAACATGGCTACTGAATTCTGAAACGTGATTATACATTACAGACACACGTGGTATTTCTGTCTCCCCTTCGTGTGTTTGCCTTCGCTGGGAATCCAGTCAATTACCCCTAATGATACCATGCAGCAGCCAAACTTACATGGTATTTTACTGGAAGCAGAATTACAACACCACAATATGTGAAGGAATGTTAAGTTCTGGAGCAAATTGTGTGTTCTGATATATTGCACAGATGCAAGAAATTGCACCAGAACGCCGTTCACAGACATATATGTCCGTCTACCCTTTGCTCAAGCCTCACCGAGGTTGTTCTAGCGGATAAAACACTCAGCTGCTGAGCCGCAAGTTGTGGGATCAAATCTAGGCGGCGGTGGCTGCATTGTCGATGGAGGTGAAAATGCTATAGGCTAAGTGTGCCCAGATTTGGGTGCACGTAAAGAACCCCAGGTGGTCGAAACTATTGGAGGCCTCCACTGCGGCGTGTGTCATTACCATATGGTGGTTTCGGGACGTTAAACTCCACATATCAATCTATCAATACCTTTTGCTTGAATACTCTCTTCCCTCGTCCAGTTCATGCGAATGCACAGTTCACCCAATGTAGGTTTCTTTACAGTTCGTCCACAGCTCAGTTAATTGTGATCTTTCTCCTAGTGATTTTTTGAATGATATCATGTTATTCAGCAAGAATAAACTCCCCCTAGAAATTGTTCATGAACATTAGCGTTGCCTTTGTGGTAGCACTAGGCTTACAATACTACTTGTTAAGCACAGACTTGAGCCTGAACAACTCGTTTATTTATTGATTTATTTGCTTCTTTAGTTATCTCGTACACACTGTCATTCTCGAGCAGAAGTAAATTTAAAAGAATGCAAAATAAATGAAACAACATGCGAATACATCTGAGAAGTTACTGTA